CGGGCATGTTGCAAGATCTGGCCACGACAAATATTTTATGGGTCCACCACGACAAAATTTCGTACGATCCGTTGTGACCGGGGCTTAAGGAGGAAAGCAATAGAACAAGGCTTAACCTTAGAGCAACTTTTAAAAACGGCTCGCGCGATGGAAACTGCAGATAAACATTCTCAAGAAATGGATCGAGAGACGTCACATGCAGTGAACATCAAACCGTTTCATCGGGAAAACAAGTACAAGCCTAGTGCCAATTATCACGGCAGACGTCAAGTGAAGCCTGACAAACAGCAAAACACCACATGTGGGCTTTGCGGCGGCTTGTATCCACACAAAGAACAGTGTCCTGCTCGAGGGAAAACTTGTCATAAGTGTGGAAAATCTAATCATTTCGCAAGGATGTGTCGATGAAACCCAGCTACACAATCTGAATCACAGGGACGAATCAGTCAACGAGGGCGAGACAGACCAATCAGACACCGAGCGCGTGCAATAGAGATAGGGAACGCATCTGAGATAAAAGACAGGCGATCTGAAAATTCGGCTGTCAAGTGTGATTTTAGTGATAATAACATTGATGATGACGGGTGTACATTTCGTCTTACTGACACTACCAACATGACTGTCCGTGAAAAACCACTGTTCAGTGTCATCATAGCTGGCACACCAGTGCGAGTAATAGCTGATTCTGGGGCATTGGTGAATGTTTTGAACGAGACAGATTATCTCGCAGTAAAGAACAAGCCGAAGCTTACACACTCAAATTTGAGAGTGTACACATACATGTCAGCAGAACCACTCAATCTACTTGGGAAATTCCAAGCTGATGCATCGAATGGTTATTATACTTGCAAAGAGACATTCTTCGTGGTGAATGGACCAAGCAGTTCACTTTTGAGTTGGAAAGCATCTCAGAAGTTAAACCTGATCACATCGGTCAACAGTGTGTCTGAACCAAAATCGCATCTTGACACAGATATTATGAGTGAATTCCCCACAGTGACCGCTGGGATGGGAAAATGCAAATGTGATCCAGTCAAGGTTGTTGTCGATGAATCGGTCAAACCAGTAGCACAACCTCATCGACGAATCCCTTTTCACGTCAGAAAGAAAGTCGAACAGAAACTGGAAGAACTTCAAAGGGCTGACATAATAGAACGAGCTGAAGGTCCAACACCTTGGATATCACCTATAGTTGTCGTTCCAAAGCCAACAGGTGACGAGAAACGCATCTGTGTCGACATGCGTGCAGTCAATCAAGCAATAAGTCGTGAACGTCATGTCATACCTACCATTGATGACATTATATGCATTTATATATTAATGCCTGTTGTTGGGGGCGCTATGCTCTCATAGTGTTGCTGAGGGAAGGTATAGTGCCCGAGCGGTAGTGTAGTGGCCCTAGGGGTGGCCGACTACAGTTCGACAGACGTTGTTTCGTTAACGCGTGTCCCAGTTGTTGGGATTCAGTGTTCGCTCCTGCCGTTGTATTAGGCAGGACGGTGATGTCACGTAGCAGATAACAGGTAGCACTAGCTGAACAGAACACAGTGAGATTCGGTTAACTGTACGGTTATAGCTTTATTGGTTCCTACTAGTTCACAAATAACTCCTCTGCATTCGTATATGCAGCAGATCCTATCACCACTAGATTAATATTGAAGAAGTAACACGTCGCCGGTTTCGTCTTCCTGTCTCACGTTCGTCCTCTCCTCGATACCTAAAATAACGCTCTCCCTCTTTCTCTTCTCCTTCTGCTTTTTCTCCTTCTTCTTCTCCTTCTTCTTCTTCTTCTTCTTCTTCTTCTTCTTCCTGAGCCTGACCTGAAAAATAACGCTCTCTTCCTCTTTCTCTTCGTCCTCTTTTTCTTCTTCTTCTTCCTACCTAGACCTGAAAAGAAACGCTCTGGTTGCTCGTTTCGGTGCGCCTTATATACTTAGCCGGCCCGCAGATTTCGTTCGCTGGTGCAATCACTGTGGTGCAATCGTTTCACCCGATGACGCAACCCGTGTCTGGTACGATGGTTACATCATCTTATGCAACTCGTTTCTGAGTAAATATTCCTCTCTTCAACCACTTTTACTCTTCATTCTATTCAAATCCCCTCATATATTATGCTGACTAATAATACATAACCGCGCAGATTAATATATCCTATTTATCTCGTGTTATCGCTTTTCGCATAAACACTCCTTGTTTTCCCCGACAGGCCGCAGCAGCAGCAGTGATAGCATGATCCAAGATGGCTGCGCCCATGGACGTGCGTGTTGACATATATTTATGTGCGGTCTATATCTTATCCTCTCTTTAGTAAATATATGGCTATATTCCATCTATACTGTGAGTTCAATCTATCCATCCTGATCTAGTCTACTGCTCCTGTAAGTTACACGCCCCCGAAATCTCCACAACTCCCTCCAACTTCTATTAGTATCCGCCCTCGGATACGCCTTTGTCTCCCCCAACGTGTCCGCGAAATGAAACTTTTGTTTTATATAAATATATCTACTATATTAAATCTTACAAAGGATATAAATATGTTCTGTAATAAAAATCCCTAAATGATGAGTCGATGACGTCCTGTCCACCTAAACAAAACCAAACAAATAAAATGATGGCCTCTTCCCTACAAATCCATCCTCTGTGGTGGTTTACGGGCTCTTGTCCCCCGCCTCAGCTTCTCCGCGGCCTTCTCCTTTTCCTTTCTCGACTCGCTCCTACTTCCGACTGTTTTATAACCTTCCCCTTCTCAACCCTTTTCCAGGTTGCCTCCGAGCACAGACAGTGCATGCAGTACTGGCACCATCTTTCGATATCCTTTGTGTACTTTGGCCAGTAGAACCGTTGCTGAATGCTGGATCTACTCCGCTTCTCTCCTTGATGTCCTGCCGTACGATGGTAATGTAATTGCTGAAATATTTCTCTTTGTAATTCCTTAGGTAACACCAACTGAAGTATGGGATGAGTCGGCGTGACCGGCGTCTCCCATCGTCTATACAATTTACCTTCCTGCACCTCTAACTGATTCCACTGCCCCCAGTACGCTTTCGCCTCCGATCCCATTCCTGCAATTTCTTCAAACTCAGGTCTGTCCAACGCCGCTTCTTTTCGTTCCTTGAAGAAAACAATCACAGGGTCCTTATCCTGTAATCTCCTAATATTTTCCGGGTTCCATACATCATATGGTCTTCCCCCTAATCCTCGGGATTCTCTCTGCGATCCTCTCGCTCTCCCTCGGTCACTACTAACACCTGCCCACGCTGCTCCTTGTCCTCACATGTAGAACCGTCTCTCCTCCCATTACGACTGGGTGGTTCATATCTCCATGTAGAATCCTCTGCTCCCTTACTACAGCTGGGTGGTTCATCGCTACTACTCTCCTCGTCTTCTTCCTCCTAAACGTGCCTTTCCTTTTACTCTGATTGCATCTCCATCGCTGGTCGGGCATCCGCTCCCATCATTCCATGCCTGCTATCTGGGCAGTTCTCGTTCGGGCATGTCCCTACTGTCTTACGTGATAACGCATCCGCATTCTGGTGATGCTGTCCCTGCTGTGTCTCACTCTCCTCCACTGGTTCGAGTTCCCCACCTGCTGATCTTCCAACAATAGGGTAGGCTTCTCTCCTGTGTGGGAGATAATCAAGGGAACCTTCATCACCTCCCTTGGGAACACCGTCTGTTCCATCCGAATCCCCTGTGCCTCCAGCTTCTGAAATTCTGGGATAGGCACTAGCCTTACATGCTTTCCGTTGGATACTTTATCGTTAGCATAAGTCCATCCGGGGATTCTGTATCTTTTCCCTGACCTCAGCATCGTCGTTTCATCCACGTATACTGGTCTACCATTCTCTCCTCCTGTCCAAAATCCTTGAATTTCTCTCCCATCGAGTGATAGCATTTCTGTAGTAATGTTCAGGATAGCATTGTTTGGGACGAGAAAGTCGAGTCCCAAAATCCCATCTAAATCCTCTAATTGTGCAATAACCATTGTTTTCCTACTGTAGGTATGCTCGGCGATTTCTAGACGGACAACAGTCTTTCCAGGACTATTCATTGCTTCGCCGTTCGCCATCTTCAGATCCCTCTTTCTTGTTATCAGCTGTAGCCCTGCACTTGCTTTGATGTCGTTGAACCTATCTTCATTTATCAGCGTTGTACTTGATCCGCTGTCTATTAAAAATTTCATGTCACATCCCTCTACTTTCACAGGTATTATCCATGTGGGATGACACTGCAACGGTGCTACTGAGATAGTAGGTATCCGTGTGGCTTCAGCCTTGCCTGAACTATTTTCTCTATTTATCGGTATTTTAATCCCTACGTGTTTTCCTGTATCATCGCCTTCTTCTATCTTGCCCTTCTGAGAGAGTATGAAACCAGTAGATCGTGGTGCAGCTCCCTCAGTCGGCTTACTATGGGCCAGGCTACCGACTCTTTTCCTAGCCCGTCCTAGTTTAACGGTCGCTGACTCCTCTCGACAACTCTTGTCCGTTGTGCGCGATTATCTGAAACATTTCCGCATTGCAATCGTCGCGGGCAATCTCTCTGCATGTGTCCCGTCCTCCTGCAAAAATAACATTCCATCTCAGCTATTCTTGCCCTATTCGGTGGAGGCTTTGCCATTCTGCTGAATGGTGCATTCGGCATACTCTCTCCTGAACTTTGACCTTCAATGTCCTTCAGGATCTTAACCATTTCCTGTCTCAGGCTTCTCATCCCTTCTTGCATCTCTTCCCGTAGGCTCGACACTGGATCCACTGGTTGCACCACAGCTCGTACGTAAGTGCCTCTACCTGGTGGCGGTTTTCTACGATGTACCGTTTTCCTTGTAACGGCCTCATACTGGGCTACCCGAGCTATAGCCTCATTAAAAACTCACTGAAGTATGCACCAGAAATGAATGTACAATTTCAAGCTGAAAATGCAAAAGCTCCTTGTGTGGGAGGGGGTGCCCCCATCCCACACTCCCCCCCCCCCACTCGGTCGCTCCTCTCCCTTGCATAATGTCATTGCTTAATAATTGGTGGCCCTGCATCCACATTCACTGTTTCACAGAAACCCACAAAGAGGCCTTCAAGTGGCTGATCGTGTCAAATAATCTCTACGTCGGGCCTACGGGGTACGCAACACACACGAGCAGCACACCGACAGCACCGGAGCCGTCACGGCGAACGCTGGCGTTCCCCTCGAGATTCCTGCTGGAGACGGACTCTCCGATGAACAAACCCATCGACGATTGTGCGTCTACATGCGGTGTCACTCACGAGTGCCTCTGTCATCCGGGACACGCGTTGAATGTTGCCTGCAAGATCGCCGTTGAAAGGCGGGTCAGCATCTGCGATGTCCTGCAGACTGTGACCGCCAACTTTCAGGGGCTGTACCGTATTGAAATAGCTTAGTCCCCTCCTGCCTCCACCTGTTGATGTCCTGTTCTAAGTACATCTTATGTTTTACTTGTATGAGCTGTGGGGTAAATGTGTTTTAAACTGACCTGACACTGTGTCTAATTGCTCATGGCGATGAATCTTTATTTCTTTGTAGAATGTATACATGTATACGTTATATATAGAGAGAGACAGAGCAGAGACTCCAAGTAAGAGACTCCAACCCTAAGCATCGCCTAAACTGGAGATAATAGAGAACGGGAGATTTTTGGGGAAATGGCCCCCAAATCGGGAGAGTTGGAGTCTCTGACAGAGAGATATAGATATCTTTTCCTACTAGCTTAGAAAATATCTACTCGCGTTACCATCACGAATGTAAAGCTTTCGCAAGTACATAAATTCCACTTTTATTAGTCATAGACAATTTCAGGAGTTAAAGTGAAGTAACATTATATATATATATGTATATGGCTATAAGCTGTACATATATTATCTCACACCACACCTGTTTATGGTATGTGTGTGTGTGTGTGTGTGTGTGTGTGTGTGTGTGTGTGTGTGTTTGTGTGTGCATATCTAGCAATGTATGCCATTTTAGTCTATCTATTTCCACAACTTCCATACATCGTTTTTATTACGAACATATTTATATACTTACACGTACACACATTGATTCATTGACTTACATTAGAGATTTTATAGAATTCAAGCAGACTATATATGTTAGCAGTGTTCGAAATAAGGGACACAATTTTGCTTGTCCGACGGACAAGCTACAATATATTTTTTCTTGTCCTGCAAAATGTTTGCTTGTCCTGATTAATAGCATAGAAATATAGTAAATGTGTAATACATCTAATCAAATTAAATTTTAGATCTAATATCTTACTTTGTAATTTTAATACAGTTCACTAACAGTTCAAATTAGGCACCAAACTTGAAAGAACATAAAGAAGCACAATTATTTATTTTTTAAGTTAATACTTGTCTTAACAAAGTTGAAGCGATGGTAGAAAATTATGAAAAATTGCTCTAAAAAGTTGCTCCAAAAAGCTGTTGTTCTGAGTTAGTCTCTTAATTCCTCTCTCCCTCCCCAGATATACTTAGTGGCAAATGTATGAAGTCATTTCCTGGAAAATGATTTCCAGTAAAGCTATTTATAGGGCTGATTATACAATATATGTGATGTTTCTATTGTACACCTATGTAGGGGAGACCGGGGACAATTGTAACACTTAAAAAAACACTTGGCTGTCAAATGTTCCTCGATACGTAAACCTGCCTACCCTCAGGACAGCATGTGGGGCAATGAAATGTGCATGCGCTGTGAAGAGCGTATACATATAGCACGTTTCTACTAGGAATGAGAGCCTCTGTTACATTTGCCCCGTGTTACAATTGTCCCCGGTCGCCCCTACAAATTCAAATTTTCTGCCATCATGCTGCCAAATATAATTGTAGAGGATGTGATGTACACTGTCAACCACAGAATACAATGACCGAAAATTCTCTTAGCTCTCTATTACTACTAGAGGGGTAACGATATGTAATGAATGATTGATGGTAATGTCACGTATCGTGAATGCGAACAAGCCAGCTGGCTTTCATATGATAAAGTTATTAGCTCCGCTGCAACGGAGTTGCAGGGGAGCTAATGTGATCCCTCTCGTGTGATGCGTTCGTGTGTGTGTGTGTGTAGCCAGCAGCGAGCGTTACACGCGTTGGCGCGATCGATTCAGAACCAGCTCGCCTTAGGTCGGCCAGCCAGCAGCAGCTCGCCTTAGAACGTCCAGGCAGCAGCAGCTCGCCTTAGAACGTCCAGGCAGCAGCAGCTCGCCTTAGAACGTCCAGGCAGCAGCAGCTCGTTACTAGGTGTGTGTGTGTGTGTGTGTATGTGTAGCCACCGCGCGATCGATAGCGCGTTGAGTCAGCGAGTGGCGAGTCAGCAGCAGCCACCAGTGAGCTGCGAATCAGCAGCAGGCGAGTCAGTCAGCAGCCGCCACCAGCGAGCACATACATGTTACATGCTCGCGGAGCTAAGCACTCTCCGTGAGTGCCCTCTGTCTAGTTTTATTTGAAGCACAGTACAGAGACAATCATATTCGATTGAGTGACCACCTGTACAGTAAATTACGTCATTCTGGAATGCTTCAAAGTTTCCGTGTTTGGGTCCGGGTGTTTTGGGCTCTAGGGGTATATTCTCAGTGAATGTAACACTGTAATGTGGGTGGCAACTTATTTACGTGATAACATGACCACACAGATGCCTGAAACGGTTTTACAATGGCTCACTAGTGCATTTCGCCGCAGGGGGGAGGGGTGTTGCCAGCTAATAATATAAGGGAGATAGCACCGAGCAGAAGCAAGCATTATTTTCAAGTCTAGGAAGAAGAGGAAGAAGAAGGAGGAGAAGAGGAAGACGAAGGAGAGGAAGAAGAAGAAGAAAGGGAGCGAGAAAGCGTCAGAGAGAGATAGGGAAGAAGCACAGGTTTTCAGGTAGGTGTAAACCAGAGCCGAACGGGAGAGAGGAATAAAACGAGAGCAGCGAAGAACGGCATTCTGGTTAGGTAGAGCTAGGAGCGACTACGAGGGCGATACCTGGGAGACTGCTTAGGTCGACGCGAAGCGAGGACGAACGTGAGGGAAGAAGACAAAACCGGCGACGCGTAAATATTAGACGAGATTGATAGAAGGTCCGCTGCATATACAAATGCAGGAGAATCATTTGTACACTAGTAACACTCAATAAAAACTATAACCGTACAGTAAACCGAATCTCACGGTGTTCTGTTCGTTTGGTGCTACCTGTTTTAACCTATTTTGACCCTAAGGCCCCTAGCTACTGTTATCTGCTACGCGACATCACCGTCCTGCCTGTGACACCGGCGGGAGCGAACACTGAATCCCACTACTGGGGCACGCGTTACGAAACAACGTCTGTCGAACCGTGGTCGGCCACCCCTAGGGCCACTACAGGTTAAATGGGGGCTCGTCCGGGATCGTTTGCATGAAGGAGTAGCAACCGCAGGTGTACCAGTGTTATAGACGGATAGTGAGCGGAGGAAAAAAACATGTTGAGTTTTATAGAAAGGATACGGGAGTTTCTGATGCCCACGGCGAACCTAGGGAGAGATGTGCAAAGCAGCGAGGGCGTGCAGCCGGCCGCGGAGGCGAATGACTCATCGCCACAGCAGCTGAGCGAGGAAAAGGAAAGTGTGGGTGAGTCCATTATTGTCAGAAGGGTACAGGTACCGACGACCATTCGCGATGGCGTATCTACACCGGAGGAGGCTTATAGGGATAGGAGGATATCTCAGGTGGCGGCAAAGGGTTATAGGAAGAAGATAGGAGGATCAGGGAAGAGGTTGCCGGACGGGTGGAGCGAATGGCAGGAAAGGGGACGGAGAGACCATACACCCCTACCCCACGCTGGAGTAAGCCAGGAAAGCGTACAGAGAAACTGGGAGCGTCCGATTGAACACCACGGTAGCATTCTGAAAGCAGAAAACGGTAGCATGAATTTGGATGTCGCACTTGACAGGGAAGCAGAAATTTCACAAGCACCTGCACGAGATACGGCTACGGTTGGGGATCTGCCGTACACAAGGAGGGAGTCGATGCAGGACCTGCCTTTAGCAAGTGAGAGAAGTCCGTGGCGTAGTACACCTGTAAAGGAACGAAAGCCTCCAAACTTTAGGAAAGGAGATGGAATTGCCCTAAAGCACTTCCTGATAAAGTTCGAGATGACGGCTAGTTAAAATCAGTGGCTAGAGAATGGATGGGGAATTCAATTAGGATTATGATTGAAGGGTGAAGCTCTAGAGGTGATGATAGAGATGCCACAATCACAGCGTGCTGACTACGACAGGATGGTTGCCTGTTTGCAACGCAGGTTCGATCCGGTAGAGCGCATCCACGTTTATCGGAGTGAACTACGCCGTAGGAGCAGAAAGTATGACGAAACGCTGTCATGCGGCAGTTGTTCACGCGGGCGTACCCTGGCCTGATAGATCTTGAAGGAATAGGAGATGCGGAAATACAACGCTACGCACTCTTGCAAGGACCAAGCACGCTAGACGAGGCTATAGCTCGGGTAGCGCAGTATGAGGCCGTTACAAGAGAAACGGTACATCGTAGAAAACCGCCACCAGGTGGAGGCACTTATGTACGAGCTGCAATGCAGCCAGTGGATCCAGTGTCGAGTCGATGGGAAGAGATGTAGTAAGGGATGCGAAGCCTGAAACAGGAAATGGTTAAGATCAGGAAGGACATGGAAGGTCAAAGGCAACAACATACAGCAGAAGCTGGAGGCAGAGGTCAAAGGTCGGGAGAAAGGATGCCGAATGCACCATTCAGCAGAATGGCAAAGCCTCCACCGGATAGGGCAAGAATAGCTGACATAGCATGTTATTTTTTGCAGGAGAACGGCACACATGCAGAGAGATTGCCCGCGACGATTGCAATGCTGCAATGTTTCAGATAATCGTGCACAACGGACAGGAGTTGCCGAGAGGAGTCAGCAACCGTTAAACTAGGACGGGCTAGGAAAAGAGTCGGTAGCCTGGCCCATAGTAATCCGACTGAGGGAGCTACACCACGATCTACTGGTATCACACTCTCAGAAGGGCAAGATAAAAGAAGGTGATGATACAGGAAAACACGTAGGGATTAAAATACCGATAAATAGAGAAAATAGTTCAGGCAAGGCTGAAGCCACACGGATACCTATTATCTCCGTGGCACCACTGCAGTGTCATCCCACATGGATAATACCTGTGAAAGTAGAGGGATATGACATGAAATTTTTAGTAGACAGTGGATCAAGTACAACGCTAATAAACGAATACAGGTTCAACGACATCAAAGCAAGTGCAGGGCTACAGCTGATAACGAGAAAGAGAGATCTGAAGATGGTGAACGGCGAAGCAATGAATAGTCCTGGAGAAACTAACGTCCGTCTAGAAATGCCGAGCAGACCTACAATAGAAAAACAATGGTTATTGCACAATTATAGG